ACAAATTGTTTACCCATTTTATTTTATTATTTTATTTTTTTAAGATTTTATTTATTTATTTGAAAGAGAGAGAGCACGAGGAGGGTGGAGGGCAGAGGGAGTGGGAGAAGCACACTCCCAGCTCAGCAGGGAGCCCAATGGGGGTTGGGGGGTTGGCTTGATCCCAGGACCCTGAGCTCATGACCTGAGCCAAAGGCAGTTGCTTCACTGACTGAGCCACACAGGTGCCCCTCTTTTACCCATTTTTAAATTGGATTGTTTGTCATCTTATTATTGAGAGTTCTTTCAATGTTCTATATAGGAGACCTTTATCAGATATGTAATTTATAAATATTTTCTACCTATATGTGACTTGCCTTTGCATTCTCTCACCGATGTCTTTTGAAGAGCAAAAGTTTTAAATTTGGGGGCACCTGGGTGGCTTAGTTAGGCATCTGCCTTCAGCTCAGGTCATGATCCCAGAGTCCCAGGATGGAACCATGCATCAGGCTCCCTGCTCAGCAGGAAGTCTGCTTCTCCCTGTCCCGCCCCCCTTCTCATGCTCTCTCTCACTCTCTCTCTCTCTCAAATAATTAAATAAAATCTTTTTCTAAAAGTTTTAAATTTCGATGAAGTCTAGTTATCAATTTTTTCTTTCATTAATTACAATTTGGTATCATATCTAAGAAATCATTGTCCAACTTAAGCTTATACAGGTTTTTTTTAAAGATGTATTTATTTAATTTTAGAAAGTGACTGAGAAGAACTAATCTGTACTGAGTATTTACTCCCTACCAGGCACTGGGTTCAGTGCTTTACCTGCACATCTCATGTAACACCCGGGACAACCCATGTAGCAGAAACTCCTATTGGACCCATTTTGAAATGAGAAACTGAACCACAGGAAATTCAAGAAACTTAGTCAAAGTCACACCGCTCCTCAGCCAACTTTGCACCTATATCTTGTCTATCCAGAATGCTCTCTTTTTATGACCTCTATTGTAGGGATTTCCAGGGAGAAAGAACAATCCCAGCCTCTGATGCCCTGAACTGCTCTGACACTCCCCGCCTGTTTGGTTCTCATGCTGGAAATTAACAATCTCAGAAATGGAATATCAACCTCAGACAAGATTACTCTAAAATGACACAATACAAGGCTACCTCATGATTCTGAACAGGCGCAGCCAAAATAAAGGCATTGTGCAACCTACAAAATCCCAAACATCCTCCTCTTTTCATAAGGAAATGACTGCGTCTTCTCACTCCACTCATAGAATTGCCAGTACTAACAGTAGTATTCCATATAGAACAAACCCTTCTTCCTTCCATCCTCCCCCAAAGCCCAGATCCTAGAATAGGTTCTTTCTAATACCTTCTTCCTGGGGTGTGTTCTTCTTGGCTGCAAGGAATAAAACCCCCAGCATGTTTCATGGGAGGTGTATTCCTGGTGATTTGGCTTAAGGGAATTGCCATCAACTAAGGCTATGCCAGGGCATCAGGGAACAATTTTTCACTCATGCGTGGTGTCACAGATTTCCCAAAAATAAACGTACTTCTTCAAGGTAAGATTGCTCACTGTACTTCATCTTTTCTTATCCCTGCTGTTTTCCTAACTATGAGAAATTGTATAACATGTGATAGTGAGTTATGATAGATGGGGTCTATGCCTTTTGGGATTGAATGAGAGCTGTCATAATCCTGAACTTCCAGGGAATTGATCACAAGGACCACAAGTTAGCAGGGCAATATGCCTTTGGGCTTTTGGAGTTGCAAATGGGCACGTGCAAAAGAACAATACATGGTTTTGGAAGATATTTTAGCAAAAAAAAATTAGCCATAAAGGCCATAAAATATTTAATCCATAATCCACCAGTCACTCTGTACAGAGATTATCCTGCTTTAACTTTGGTCAATGGCAACTATTTTAAGAAAAATGAGAGAATTGCATAAGAGCATATCCAGTGAATATGGGGATGACATAAAAGGTTGCATTGCCAAATCAGTCCCCTCAAATCATAAATCTTACCCAGTATCAAGTTTTACTCACATTTTCAAGGGTAAAATTGTGAGGTACCAGCAAAGCAACTGAGACCACCAACACTAACTGCAAAAACCTGTTTCCCACATGAGGACATGCTCTGGCCCAGACGAAACATATATGGTCTCTAAGTGATGTGTGAGCTCCCCACACAAAGTGGAGCTGTTTGGGGTGATTTCCCATGGTGATGCTTACAAAGCTGATGTGACAGTTTCTAGGGAACAAAGCCATATTAATCCACAGATTCTTGGTTTGGTTCCCTAAATAGTTCTGCACAGACCAGATACACCCTCCTGAAAATATACCTTAAGGGGGCCCTCCCAAAAGTAACCACCCTTTAGGTGTTTGCCAACAGGTTCTTCACTAAATGTTTACAAAGAAAATTGACTGGGATTCAATCATTCCTCCCTTCCTCCCTTCTTTCCTTCCTTCCTTCTTTCCTTCCTTCCTCCATCCCTCCTTTCTTTCCTTTCTTCCTTCTCTCTTTTCTTCCTCTCTTCTTTTCTCCCTTCCTTCCTTTCTTCTTTTTTCTTCCTTTCTTCCTTTCTTTCCAGGCCAGGCCCACTAAAGGGAAATGAACAACTGCAAAGAACACTGTTTCCCTTCTTTTCCCCACATTGTGTAGGTAGAGTTTGTTGGCACCCCTTGTAAATCAGCAACAATTCAATTTTCTTTACCTGGGAAAAATTATGTAGGGAATATATATATATTTAAAAATGAAATGCCATGGTCCTCTCTGGAATCATTACCCACTTATGAGCACACTTTATTTAACCATCCTCTCCCCATTTCTCTTTATTACCTGTCTCATCTACATCTTTCCCCAATGATGGAGCCACCTCAAATGTACTGCTTAACCTGGAGGTGGGGCCAAAGAGAAGTGCACACATGGCTAGAATGCTACAAGCATTTAGAAAGGAACCATGAGAGACTATGGACTCTGAGAAACAAACTGAGGGTTCTAGAGGGGAGGGGGGTAGGGCGATAGGTTAGCCTGGTGTTGGGTATTAAAGAGGACACGTATTGAATGGAGCACTGGGTGTTATACGCAAACAATGAATCATGGAACACTACATCAAAAACTAATGATGTAATGTGTGGTGATTAACATAACATAATAAAAAAAGAAAGAAAGAAAGGAGCCTAAAGTACCATTAGGAATAAGCACTGCCACATTTAGTGGTATGGATTTTAGGTTTGGTACTGATATCAACTTCCTTGTACAAATATGTTTAGACTCAAGAGTGAGACCATGGGATCAGACAAAATGAAAGAAAACTGTGCCAAGTGTGAAGATACTAAGTTACCAAAGTTACTCTGAGTTGTGTAATTGCTTTGTCCCTTAGGCCCTCATTTCCACCTGCAGAACCTAGAAAACGTTCAATAGAGTCTCCACTTGCCATCAAATTCAATCTGAGGACACAATAATATAAACTGTTAACCCAAACTTTCCATTTTTTCCTTAACCTGTATTGAATGCAAGGTATTTCAATTGCCCATTCCCATTTTAGGTGAGATTGCAGTGAAGGCACAGAGTAATGTGGTACATCCAGGTAATATTCTGTTTCTTGGTCTACTTCTGTACTCAGCATGTCAACTTTGTCTGCCAGTGAACCTCTGAACACACACGGGAAACCCAACAAATATTAAAAATATGGGGTCTCTGGGTTGATCTTGGGAAATAGGCAACATTTAGGATTCTCTCAGGGCTCAGAAAGGCTCTTGATCTGCAAGGACCATGGTAGCTGCCCCAATTTCCATAGGGGGTGTAACTCTGGATTCCTGATGCATGCACCTTATTTATTTTTTATTTTTTATTTTTATTTAATTTTAGTTAAGCTCCCTGACCAGTGTGGGGCTCTAACTCATGACCTTGAGATCAAGAGTTGCATGCTGTATTGACTGAGCCAGCCATGTGTCCCTCTGGGCAGCTTTGATGGCCAGGCACAAACCATGATTTTCATGTTAGCAGAAAGGTTTAAAAATCTAGGAAATGCCTTCAATCTGCTCCACTCCTACTGGGCATGTTTCCTGAGTTCCTGCTATGTGCGAGTTCTCTTTCCCACCTACCCATAGAAAACCCTCTAGGAACCCAACCCAGGTCCTCTGGGATCCCTTTTATCCTTTTTGTGTAATCCTCTCCTGCTCTCAATGTGTTTGTGCTTCTAAAGACACCTGTGAGTCGGACTGCCCTGGGGCTCCTGGAGCTCCTTTGTACCCAGTCCCAGAGAACGGGGAGTACATGCAGTATACAACCACCAGCCCCATTTATCTCTCCTCCTGAAAGGCACTCAGCCCATCTCTAACAGTGCAGGAGTGTGAAATCCCTTTTCCTGGCCTGGGGGAAACTAACTCTGGAAACAAGTTACCTCCAGGTTCTCCTACACCTGTCAGGACAAATCTCCCCCAAGGCTGTTGGAAATCAACATACACAGTAATGAACTCAAAATGGTCATTGTGGTTTTCATCTCTTAACATGAGATTTGGTCTTTTTTTTTTTTTTTTTTTTTTACAATTTCCATGTATCTGCTGAATGTTTTGTACATGATGGGATGTGGTTACAAGAAATGCTTTCTTGTCCTTCTTGGTGATTCTCACCTTGGTGTCAGCTCTGGGTCATTTTCAGATGAGTGATCTGTCTCCTCATGAGGGCTCATTTCCCCTGCTTCTCTGCATACCTCAAACTGTTGGATGGAATGGCAAACAGTGTGAATGTTACCTTATTGCTGGATGTTTTTGTGTTTTCGATAAAACGCAAACACGACAACCAAGGTTTCTTTTCTAAACCTGCAGATAGAAACTTTCCTACATTTTCTATGAGAAATAGCGAAAAGCTGCTCCTTCACAAAGCAAGCCTGAAAAATGGCGGTGCATTTCTCACTGCACTGGTGTCACCAGGGTCAACTCTGTGGCCCGGCAATGCAAGAAAAAAAAAAAAAGCAAGATGAAAAGCAAAAACACTTTATTGTTACACACCCGTTACCAGGGGAGAGCGCAAACACAGTCACCCACTACTACAATTTATGCAGTCGAGTTTCCCACCTTTGGGGAAATCTCAGAGTTCAGCACATCCTCAGTGCAATGGACAAGCCTCGTTCCGGGAAAATCGCCTGCTTGATCGTGGTATCTCCCCTGCCAGATAAGTGTGACCCGCCCCGCCTCCTCCCTACACCAGCCTCACGCGCCTTCCACCTACACACAAGATCACGCGCCTAGCCACACCCTAAACCACCGACACCTATTCCTGTCCCAAGCATCCTCACCCTCCACACAATACTTTCTAATACAATGGAAGCAACAGCACTGCTACTTCCACAGCCCCGGGAATTCTGTCCAGAACCGCACCCCAATGTTGTCTGATTTTACATCAGACACGCCGGGTCCATGACGTTGAGGGCCTCGCCTCAGTCCCTCCACCCCAACCCTTTTCCCTGTCCCCAGCTCCCATCCCACCTTGGATCTGTTCTGATGTCCTACCTCCTCGACCCCCTCTTTCCTCTCCTCTTCCCTCACACCCTTCTCCTCTCCTCCTCCTCCCACTGCCTTGGCTTCCTTCCTCCTCTTGCCAGTCACCTGCGTCCTGATTTTGTTACCACTTCTCCTCTGCCTCCCTGCAGCTCTAACCCCCCACCCCTACACAAACACACACACACACACACACACACAGCACTCAGCACAGGGAAGGCTGCCCCAGCCAGACATGAGGGAGGACTTTCCACCAGCCAGAGAAAGGCAGATATGTATCTCTCTCGCTCTCGCTCTCTCCTCAGAACCTGGTTTGGAGGGGACAGAGTGTGATGGCTGCGCCTGAGGAGCTCAGCCTCCAAGCCAGGCCCCACCCAACCCCCCAGGCCTGGACACCCTTGGGGGGGGTGGGACCAAAAGTCTGCAACTTCTGGCCACTCAGGATGACACCTGCCCGCAACACCCCAAGCGCTGAAAACATCTGGGAGCCTGCATCTTCACTAGGCAGACTCCAAAGGAAGGGTCGCGGCCCCCCTTTGTGGCTGCCTGGGGGAGGTGCACAAGGATCCCCCTGTTGAAAGGAAGGGGCAGGGCAATGGAAACCATCCCTTCTGCTCCCTTAGACTGGGTTCAAAATTCATAGCAGGGGATGAGTGGGGTCCCAGGCGCCCCACTCAGCCACTGCCTTCCCTCCCTCCACCGCTGGGCACTTCCCCTTGTGATGAGGGAGCAGAAGACAAGCTGAAGACAAAGCTTAAGCTGACATCATGCAAACTCCCCCCACCTCCCACTCCTGGCTGGGATATGTGTGATATTCTTCTATGGAGCTCCCAACTGTCCTAATGTCAATGCTGTACTAGATGGGAAAAACAACCTTAACTTGACATGGCAAGGCCTCCTACAGTATCCTGTGAGTTGTTAACATTTGAAAATCCTTTTGAAATCTCTCTTTTCCTTACCTCCTCCAATTCCCAAGTATATAATCAGCCATTCCTCACAACCCCAGGGCAGCAGCTCTTTCTGCCCTACTGGTCCTGTCTGCCTTTCAAGGGGGAAAAAAAACAGGTTGGGAAACAAAGCCAAGAAACAACTACTCCAAAGAGACTAGTACTTGGGCAATTTTATGGTCATGGATGGAGTGCCCTAGGGTTCTGATTTGCCTTTGCCTTGTGCCTGGAGGTAGTGGTTTATTTTACCAGACTGTTGAAATTAGAAAAGATTGGGGGGGAGGGGCATCCAAATTTACTTGTCACCTGAGTTCATAATGTGGTGGTGGGGAGAATAATGCCCCCTCCCTAAGAGTTCCCCATTCTAATGCCAGGACCCTGTGCGCAAGTTCCATCACACAGCAAAATGGACCCTGCAGAGGTGCTTATGTTAAGGACCTTGAGATGGGGAGATGATCCTGGATGCTTCAGGTGGCCCCCTGGAATGGCAGTGGGGCTTTAAAACAGGAAGACGCAGGGGCGCTTGGGTGGCTCAGTTGGTTAAGCGACTGCCTTTGGCTCAGGTCATGATCTCAGGGTCCTGGGATCGAGCCCCGCATCGGGCTCCCTGCTCGTGGGAAGCCTGCTTCTCCCTTTCCCACTCCCCTTGCTTGTGTTTTAAAAATCTTTTAAAAAAAAATAGGAAGAGGCAGAGAAGGAGGTCAGAAGGATGCTGTGTGAGGAAGACTCTGCCTGCTGTGGCTGGGGCTGAGTATGGAGGAGGTACCTCTAAAAGCTGGAACAGGCAAAGAGACACAATGTCTTGTTAACCTAAAAAATAGAAAGCACCAGTTATTTTACCAGCAAAAATAGGACTTGTGGGGAATAAAAGGGAAAGGCAATCTGTGACAAACAAGCAAAACCATAGGTGAATCTGGAGAACAAAGGGGAGGTGCGCTCTTCTTTTTGGTGAAAAAGTCAGTTGGGAAGGCTGTTATTAACTGAGTTGGAAGTGTGCTGGCCTCTCCCTGAGGGGTCAAGGCTAGCATTTCTTAACTCTGGCCGGGTTAGTAGAGGCATATGCCTGTGCAATGGGTCAAGTCCCTGGATGGAGTTCTGGTGAGATTTGGATGAGATCTCATGAAATTTGGACTGAGACCCTCATGAGACTTGGACTGATCTCACGAGATTTAGCTAGAAGTCATGAGACATGTGTGAGAGATCTTACGAGATTTAGATTAAGATCTCACAAGATTTGAAGATCTCATGAGATTTGGACTGAGTTCTCACTAGATTTGGACAAACTCTCAAAGACTTGGTTAGGAATCTCATGAGACCTAAGTGAGCTCTCACAAGATTTGGACGGGTTTCCTTCAAGATTTGGATGAGATCTCACAAGATTTGGACGGACTTCTGGTGAGACTTGGATGAGATCTCACAAGATTTGGACTGAGTTATCATGAGATTTGGCCTAAGATCGCACGATATTTTTGTAGAAATCTTGTGAGACTGTGTGACATGTTCAAGATTTGGACTGAGTTTTCATAAGATTCGAGCTGAGTTCTTACCACATTTGGACTGACCACAGAGATATAGCTAGAGGTCTCGTGAGACATGCATGAGTTATCATGAGATTGGGACTGAGATCTTTTGGGAATAGGATGAGATCTCATGAGATCTGGACTGTTCTCTCAAGACTTGGACTGATCTCACATATTTACCTAGAACGCTTGAGAGAATGGTGAGAGATCTCAAGAGATTTGGACTGAGATCTGGCAAGATTTGAAGGAGATCACATGAGATTTGGACTGAGTTCTCCAAGATCTGGACAAAATCTCAAAGATTTGGTTAGGAATCTAGTGAGACCTAAGTGAGATCTCATGAGATTTTGGTGGATTTCCTTCGAGATTTGGATGAGATCTCACAAGATTTGGATGGACTTCTGGTGAGATTTGGATGAGATCTCACGAGATTTGGACTGAGTTCTCACGAGATTTGGTCTGAGATTGCACAATAGTTTTGTAGAAATCTTGTGAGAGGTGTGTGACGTATTTGAGATTTGGACTGAGTTTTCACAAGTTTTGAGCTGAGTTCTCACCACATTTGGACTGGTCACAGAGAGATAGCTAGAGGTCTTGTGAAATGTGCATGAGCTATCATGAGATTGGGACTTAGATCTTTCCAGAATAGGATGAGATCTCATGAGATTTGGACTGTGTTCCCTTGAGACTTGGACTGATCTCACGTATTTACCTAGAACTCTTGAGAAAACTGTAAGAGATCTCACGAGATTTGGATAGAGTTCCTGTGAGATTTGGATAAGATCTCATGAGATTTGGACGGGCTTCTGGCAAGTTTGGATGAGCTCTCATGAGATACGGACAGAATTCTGGCGAGATTTGAATGAGATCTCACGAGATTTGGACTGAGACCTTCACAAGACTTGGACTGATATCACAAGATTTAGCTAGAAGTCTTGAGACATGTGCAAAGATCTCATGAGATTTATATTGAGATATGGTGAGATTTCAAGGAGATCCCACAAAATTTGGGTAGAAATCTTGTGAGACATGAGTGAGATTTCACAAGATTTGGATGGTCTTCTGGTGAGATTTGGATGAGATCTCATGAGGTTTGGAAAGAGATCTCATGAGATTCAGACTGAGTTCTCTCAAGATTTGGACTGAGCCCTGTTGAGATTTGAATGAGAGCTCACAGGAATTAGAATGAGTTCTCATGAGAGTTGGATGAGATCTCACGAGACTTGGAGTGAGATCTCATGAGATTTGGGTAGATCTTGCTAGATGTGTGGTTGAGCTCAGGAGATTTGGATGGAGATCTGGTGAGATTTGGGAGAGATCTCACAAGATTTGGACTGACTTTTTAGGAGATTTTAACTGAGGTTTCATGAGATTTGGATTAGCTGGTGACATTTGAACTGAGATCTCATGATATTTGGACAAAGATTGGTGAGATTTGAATGAGATCTCATGAGATTTGGACTGAGATCTCACGAGATTTGGACTGTGATCTAGTGAGATTTGGGCAGAAATCTCAGGAGATGTGCATCAGATCTCATGAGATTTGGACTGTGTTTTCACAAACTTGGATTAAGATATGAGATTGGGGTAGAAATCTGGAGACATGAGTGAGAGATCTCACGAATTTTAGAATGCAGTTTGGTGAGGTTTGAAGGAGATCTCACCAAATTTGGACTGAGTTCTCACGAGATTTGGACAAAATGACAGAGATTTGGGTAGAAATCTTGTGAGACCTGAGTGAGATCTCACAAGATTTGGATGGAATTCAGGCAAGATTTGGATGAGATCTCACGAGATTTGGATGGAGTTCTGGCATGATTTGAATAAGATCTCATGAGATTCAGACTGAGACCCTCACGAGACTTGGACTGATCGCATGAGATTTAGCTAGAAGTCTTGAGACATGAGCGAGAGATCTCACAAGATTTAGATTGAGATTTGGTGAGATTTGAAGGAGATCTTATGAAATTTGGACTGAGTTCTCATGAGATTTGGTCAAAATCTCAGAGATTTGGTTAGAAATCTTGTGAGACCTGAATGAGATCTCACGAGCTTTGGACAGACTTCCTGTGAGATTTGGATGAGATCTCATGAGATTTGGAAGGACTTCTGGTGAGATTTGGTTGTGATTTCATGAGTTTTGGACTGAGTTCACATGAGAATTAGACTGAGATCTGGGGAGATGTGGACTAAGAACTCGTGAGATTTTGTTGAA